AATGCCTAGGTTTTCCTGTAACAATGTTCCCCAGTACGTATGTTTTCCTGTACCAATGTTCCCCAGTACATAAAGTACATTAACATGTACTTAGGTTCTCCACTACCTATGTTTTCCTGTACCAATGTTCCCCAGTACATAGTCTTAGGTTTTCCTTTACCAATGTTCCCCAGTACCTACATGTATTTAGGTTATCCAGTACCTATGTTTTCCTGTACCAATGTTCCCCAGTACATACAGTACATTAACCTGTACTTAGGTTATCCAGTACCTATGTTTTCCTGTGCCAATGTTCCCCAGTACATACAGTGTGTTAACCTGTACTTAGGTTATCCAGTACCTATGTTTACTTAGGTTTTCCTTTACCAATGTTCCCCAGTATCTACAGTACGTTAACATGTACTTAGGTTATCCAGTACCTATGTTTTCCTGTACCAATGTTCCCCAGTRCATACAATACGTTAACATGTACTTAGGTTATCCAATACCTATGTTCCCCAGTACTTATGATTTCCAGTACATATGTTTTTCGTTACCTAATGTATGTTTTCTGGTACTTATGTTCTCCGTTACCTATGTTTCCCAGTGTCTATGTTTTCCAGTGCCTATGTTCCTCCATGCTGATGTCTTCTGGTGCCTTTTTTTTTTTACAGTACCTATGTTTTTCATTACCTAATGTATGTTCTCTGTTACCTATGTTCCCCGGTGCCTATGTTCACTGGAGTACATAACGGGGAACACAATCTCCAGGAAACACAAATGGCTTCAAGTCAGTCAGTTTTACAAATGTTGAGTTAAAATTTTGTGTAGTAGTATCTGAGAGTCATCCCAAATAGTCTGAGGTCACTTATCAGTAAGTCTGTGATTTATCTTTTGTAGCAGCACCTCATAAAAATTACCAATCGTAACAAAAAGTGCCATGAAGATAAATTATTTTCTTATGAAATCCAGGTAAGTGTGAAACTTATGTTTGTTTGCGGTAAATGATTCTGTCACTTTTATCACTGTTTACATGTCAAACCACATTAACGCCTCCGTCTGCTGCTTTACGAGGTCAGAGGAGCGACAGGGCTGGGTGAACCGGTGAGCTCCGGAGCTCTCGGGTGTCTGCAGCTTCACGGTGCAGTTAGTTGTTCTTTAATGAGGCGCTGCAGYGTGCCAACCCTCCTCTCGTGTTACCCAGCGGGCATCAGATGCTGGGGGGAAGAATTGGACACCTGCGTGAGGAGCGAACATCGTGTTTCGGGAGGAGACACCGTAGACCGGCGCAGCAGCAATCACAAACATTAATGTTTAAAGAAGAGATAAACAGGAGCAATGCCAAAGGAGCAGCCGWAGGTGCAGCCGGTCTTTCACCTGTTTTCACACGTCTAAAGCCACGAAGCAACTTTGACCTTGAAACAGAAAATAATAAAMTGATAAAAAAATAAAAGCTGGTAAAAAAAATGATGCTGCGTCACTCGAAGGGTATGTCTAAAGACAGAATTAGATACGGTACACTGTCCCATAAACTAATTCAACGTGATCTGAGCAGGCACACAACACCCCTAACACCCCATGAAAAATTCACCACACACAAACTCAGGCTCAGAGAACACATCTGTGTCACGCAGAGAACACGTTTTCAATCAAGTGTCCCAAGAAAACGACAGCAGAGACAGAGATTTAACTAAAATGTAAATTTCTTGTGTCTGTGGTTTTCCTAGCTTTTGATAATACACTGAATTTAGTAAAATTACCAGTTATGTTAAAGGAAAGTAAAAAGAAAAGTATTTGGATTTGCAGCTCTACTGTGTTCTACGACGGTGTATTAGGGCCACTTTGCAGATGAAAAAAAAAGGGGAAGGAAATCTCTGAGAAAAACTCAGAATTTCTGAGATCAATTTCAGAAACTTTGAACAAAAAACAGGCAATTCTCTTATTTTGAAAAGTTGCAAATTTGTGAGAAAAAAAACTCAGAAATTTCCATAATTAAAGGCAGAAATTTGCAACATTTAAACTAGATATTTTCTGACATGGTAAAGTCAGAAATTTACAAGAAAAAAACTCGTAAATTTATGGGAAAAAAMCTGAAGTTTTCAGGAATGGCTAAAGGGCGATTCCACCTGTTTTTACTACCTTGAGCATCTTTAATCTGCTCTAGTTTAAAAACTAAAACACTAGAGACTTCAAACCTGGACTAGATTATTCTACACTGATTGCAGAATGTTTAAAACCAAGTGTGTGATTTGTGAAACGTATATTTTATATGTGAAGCTCAAGGAAATATGGCGATTTCAGCACTTTTTATGCATTTTATGAACAAGCATGGCCCGATGGAGAGGTGGGAGAATTAGAGTGACTGAATCAATCATTCAAAATGATCATTGAGCCTATAGAGAAAAATAAATTTCAAAATTCAATGCAGCCACGCAATATCACCATCAATTTCCCCAACTTGTGGTGACATTTCCTGATTCGGTAACCAGATATTTCAAAATAAAAGTCTGAATATTTTGAAATATGTTTTTCTTTTTCTGTTGGCCGTTTAAATACAGTTTACTGACTTACTTATTGCTTCAGTCACTCACACCAAACACGTTTTGAGCATCGGGGGAGTCAGGTTTACACGCAAAGTCAATGATGGACCGTGGACGCGCGGATCAACAGCTCGTCAGTGCGCCGCTGCTAGTGAAACTCACTTATCTGATAAATTAATTATGAATTAATTATCTGGTAAGCGTGATGTGTTCTTGCTCCGTAAATAAAGCAAAGCCACTTTCTTTATTTCATCTGCCATACACCAACAGAGGAGGCTCTGGACGCGCATCAAGAGCAGTTTCGAAGAGCGTCTGTTTGACATCAAAGTGCACAAGAGTCCAACTTGAAGTATTTGTGTGTTTTTGGGCGTTCGGTGTGAAGYTGATAAGCATAATTCTCTCCATCGGGCCATGCTTGTTTATAAAAAGTGCTGAAATCACCATATTTCCTTAAGCTTCACTTATCAAATATATGTTTCACAGATCACACACTTGGTTTTAAACATTCTGCAATCAGTGTAGAATAATCTAGTCCAGGTTTGAAGTCTCCATGTGTTTTAGTTTTTAAACTAGAGCAGATTAAAGATGCTCAAGGTAGTGAAAACAGGTGGAATCGCCCTTTAGCCATTCCTGAAAACTTCAGAGTTTTTTTCTCATAAATTTACGAGTTTTTTTTTTCTTGTAAATTTCTGACTTTACCATGTCAGAAAATATCTAGTTTAAATGTCGCAAATTTCTGCTTTTAATTATGGAAATTTCTGCGTTTTTCTCTGGCAAATTTGTGACTTTTCAAAATAAGAGAATTGCTTTTTTTCTCAAAAATTTCTGAAACTAATCTCAGAAATTCTGTTTTTTTCTCAGAGATTTGCTCCTCCTTTTTTTTCCATCTGCAAAGTGGCCCTAATACACAGTCATAGTGCTCTACCAGTTAGGTGTGGATTACGTTTTGGTTCAGGTTAAGGTTAGGAATAAACTCATAATGGTTAGTGTTGGGGAAAATGTCTGGGTTAGGCATGAATGCAGTTATAAAATTAATGGAAGTCAATACAAAGTCTTCAGTTTGATGCAAGTACATGATATGTGTGTTGTACTTTGTTTTWGTTGCTGTTATTAGCAGCCACTACTTCTCTTTAGCTACTTTGTTTCTCTTTAGTTTTATCCATAGAATGTTTTATTTTTTAAATTATTGTTATGATTATGAACTCAAGACAGTCGTTCATAAATGTGAATGGATCATTGCTAGCCAACATCAATACTATGCAGCTATGGCTGTGTCCAAATTCAGGGGCTGAGTCCTTCGAAGGATCCAGCCTACCCATACTGGTGGGTGTGGCTGCCCGATCCGTACCGGAAGCACGATCCGTACTGTCCTGGAAACATCGGGCTGGATCCAATGGCGGCACTGTGGTGTAAGCGGATGACAAATTCGGCCTTCGGAGGATGCAGCCCCTGAATTTGGACACAGCCACTGTACAAACTAACAATGTAAGCTAGGGGTTAGCTGACATCAATGTTACTTCAATGTTAATAGCTAACAAAGTCAGCTAACTTTAACATTTTCAGGAAGGAAAAACTAAATAGGATTAAAAAAATTCATTGTATTGAAGTGCAGAAGACAAACATAATTGTGTAAATCCTATAAACTAGGAAATGAGGCAGCAGACAAACACCAGTGTCAGCCGTGTCCTCTTTAGTCAAAGTTAGTTTCATGCTGGTTTCAAATGARGCATATTTGATACTGTCTACAAGACTTAAATGTCACCTGACAGATTCTGGTTGCTTTTTAGTTCCTTCGTCACAAACTTTGGCTTAAAATTGTTTCAAGGTCAGATTTTAAAATCACATCTAATTTTCAGTTTTACATTTTACCTCCGCAAGAATCGCAGGTYGACTCTGAGAGCTGTGAACATGATATTATTTGTCAAATTATTTGTGTTCCTGTCTGAAATAAAGGATCTCTGCCAGCGAGGGGCCAATACTAATGCAATTCTCCCTCCTGCCATTGAAGTCCTGGGACAAATTTTCCCCAACCGCAAATCYGGTCACGTACGCCGACTCGGGCACCAGGACCATGAACTCATTATATCGCCATCAAGTAATCTGATTTGCTTCATGCTCACAACAGAGCAATTTCCCATAAAAACAGTTTAGCAAATTTGTACAGCGTGTAATATGATCTTGTATATATTTTTTTACATGAGTCCTGTTTTCCAGGAATGGGACCTCAGTTTTAGAAGTCAAAAAAATAAAAAAGGTGCAATAAGTCACCTTGAACAACAAGAAAATATATAATGTTGCACTAAAAAGTTTTGTTTATCTCTAAGCCACAAACAAAACATCAAGTTCAGAATATTTACAGCATTTAGACCCTTCTTCTATTTTTATTTATTTTTTTATAATTTTGCATTTGTTTGTAGCAATTTTGCCATTTTTTGGGGCTAGAAACATGGTAATTTGGTTTGCCGAGAGGGTCAAACTCACCATGGGTCTGCGGTTCTCTACCAGGTGGATGCCAATGATCCCCAGGAAAGCTCCAAAACTGAGCTGAAATTACAAACACAAAGCACCAAATTACAACCAGAAGAAGTGAGGAGGTTATTAATCCTCCCATTACACTTGGGTCAAAACGACCAACAAGACTGTTATCTTTAGTCAAATGTTTAACTAGTCTGTTGCCTTGGGTCAAATACCAAACAATTTTGTTACCTAGGGTCAAATGTTCAACTGGTCTGTTACCTTGGGTCAAATGTTTAACTAGTCTGTTGCCTTGGGTCAAATACCAAACAATTTTGTTACCTAGGGTCAAATGTTCAACTGGTCTGTTACCTTGGGTCAAATGTTTAACTAGTCTGTTACCTTGGGTCAAATGTTTAACTAGTCTGTTGCCTTGGGTCAAAT